ATATCGAATCAATGGAGAAAGTAAACTAATCTTATAATGTGTAATTTATCTTCTAAATTTCATTTCGTACAAATTTATTCCTGCTCGGCGCAACGAAAATTCACGTATCAAGGTTTCGTAAAGATTATATCTTGTAACCTAAGGATGTACAAAATATGGTGGGGGAAACTAAAAGGATATTATATCCGGATGGAAATGCATCATCTTTATCTTGTTATTATTTTATCGCACACACGATAAAAAAGTATAATTCGTCTTGTACTACCGTTTCCGTTTCTGAAAAAACTGTATATCTCGAAGACTGATCGTTACAACGAGGGAACACATCTGAAACGAACATATTTACTTCCTACTCGTTAATTACAAGACATTGTGTGTATACCGCGTTCCGACAGGTTCACTTTTTTTACTCGGCCGTTGAAAATCATTTCATGAGACGACGAATCGTTTACCAATACACATCATTATCCGAACACTACTTCCACCATCGAATTATATACGAATAATAATAATAACAAAGATCACAAGCATAATAAATTATAATCTCGTAACAGACAAAGTTTTCTCTTAATGATGTTAAAGTAGTATTCTTCGAGTTGCGTGTCATTCACTTTTTTTAGAGGCTCCATCGTGTGTGTGTCATCTAGAAATGATGAATGATCCGCTGTGTTCCCTCAGAATAGGCGTAGAAACATTTATTTCACGTTCCGCCTTTTTTTTTCTAACTCAAATTCTCTCAAACATCTCAATATTTCAACATTTTACTCACTCTCTATTTATTTATCAAGATACAACGAGGATTCGTAACGATAACAGATTACATTGCGGCTACACACATCGAAGCAATACTTATTTAGACACTAGAAAAGTATCTACGACAATAGTAATTTCGCGAATTGTTCATGCGTACTTTCATATCACTTCTCGCGTACAGTGTTACTTCAAGATCCACGCGTTTCGACGCGACCTTTCAATCCTTTCTTCTCCATCGGTTCACTTTTCTTTTTTCTTTTCTTTTCTTTCCTCTTTGTTGTTGGTTCGTTTTAAAAAATAGAAACAAACGGAAGAAAAAAGGAATGCTCTTCGAAAAGCGCTTAAGAGAGCAAGCTTCTCGTCGCGCTTCAAAGTCGACGTTTACTAGACGCAAATTTCCAAAGCAGAGAGTGAGCAACAATAAAGTGTTTATCCTGATTCGGCCAGTTGTTCGTCGTTGCTTTCTTTAATTGTACATTCAATAATAAGCTTCTTCTATATTCGTTCTTTTGGTTTCCACTATTGCTGTGCATTTGTATGTGTGTCTGTGTCTCTGTGTGTTCTTTTTTTCTCCTTTTTATACTTAAACCATAAGAGTTCACGTGTTATATTATAGGCTGTTCCTGAAACGTATGGCCAAATATCATGGGTGTGTTCGTACATGTTACAAGGATGAGAAGAGCTAGAAATGCGAGTCCTTAAATCGATCCTGTTCAACTTTACATGAATCCTCAACGAACTTCGTTAAATCTACCCGTGCGTCGTCTATTGCATTCAGAAATATTTAAAATCCATGGTTCCCATCCAGGGAATAGACACATCCCTTTGCTGGAGAATATTCGCAGACCCTATATGTCCTATATATATCAAACTCCTTCCATCCTCGTATACTGTCAGAAACACTTTTCAAGTTTGGCCAAGGATCTCAGCTGCACCTTAAGATATAATGTTAGAAACCGTTCGCGTATTTAAGATCTCGCTCACTACGCGTTGAGTAGAATTGCACATGTATTACAAAGAAGCAGTAATACCACACTGATTTATCGTAACGTATCAGAGATAAAGGTAGAGAGAGAGAGAGTGAGAGAGACAGGGGAGGAGAGAAAGAGAGGGAGAGGGTGGGTTAAAGATCCTTCAGGAAGAGGAGAATGGAGGGAGGTCGGATGAATTTTAGGGACAAGTTAGTGCGTGCGTATTTTATCTTCCTTGCAGGAATTATTTTCCAATGACGTCCTTAGATCGCATGTATTTCTCGCTCGGTTGTGCACATGTGTCGCTAGTTATATCCCAATCCACGGCATGATTTTTTTCTAGCGTTGAGATTTTTACATTAAACTTTCCCAAATAATGCGGAGGAGCTTGAAACGCGTTTCTCTCCTTTCGAGCTCGCAGCGAGAAGAGGAGTGGGCCGCTTAGAAAGCAGCGAACGGGTCCACACTCGTCTCGTGAAAGGAAAGGCGGAATTCAATAATGTGAAGAGACTGTGAACGAAGATGTAAAAGAATAATCTTAAGTACAGTTCGCAGCAACCCACTTTCATCTAAAATCCCGCTTCCAGTCGATAGAATAAAGAAGAAGAAGAGAAAAAAAAAGAAGAAGAAGGAAAATAGAACGGTCTTACTCGGTGTCCTTGATCAACGGATTATTTGGGAAACTTTAAATCGTATTTACTTATAACCGTAAATAGTCTTGACACTTGTACTGTATGCACCTGTTACGTTTACCGTCGACCACTTTTCGTTTCTCCTTTGCCCCTTTGTATGTCCTTCTGTAAAAACAAAATGCAGGCAGCCCCGATTATTATAAGCACACCACGCAACTGATTTTTCTTTTTTATATATATTATTATTAATACCATAATGATCCTTTAATGGTTGCAGATAGGATGAACCGCAAATAGAAGCTGCTTGTAAAGCAGATACAATTATTCTTTGCATTAAACAATATTTTCAAAGCAACTGAAACGAACGTACTCTTTATTCGATGAATTCTTGTGGAATGTATCGTTTAAATAATAGGAATAAATGAAAAGAATTCGGTGCAACGAATTTTTCTTTTGAGAATTTTAGTTGAACGAAGCGAGGAAGAGAAATTGAGAGATCAGAGATTTCAAACAAAAATGGAATATGTTAACGAGCGTTCTACGTTGTGGAATAATATACTCACGTAAAATAATTGAGTTGCAGAAACTCGGAAAATTGCTGAATCGATTAAAACAAACATTTATTCAGTCGAAAAATTGTACACTACCGCTAGTTTAAACAAATTCATTGTAAACCCATAGCATCTGAGTTACACATAAAAAAGGAATGCCAGCTACACTATACAATATGTTTCTTATGTTTGAATTAGTGTAATTAGAGTTCTCAACTTTACAAGTTTAAAGCTATCAGATCATAAATATTTCTTAAAAATTAACATCTTCACAAAACACGTTCGCGTATTACAATTGTATACATCTGAGATATATGTGCTAAAAGATTTAAAAGATATAGCATTGATAAAAAATAAACGACACGTATATAACAAACAAAGGGCTCTGAAACATATAATTGAAAAAGAAGCATACCATTCATTAAGTCATTCCTCTTGCATTAATAAGTATCATCTTCAATATAAAACAATTAAGTTCAAACTTCACGAAAAGAAAAGCATTTTGTTCTTCGAATATGTAAAAAAAATAAATTATCTTGATGCAATAAAATATGAGTAGCGTCTACTGCCACATTTGTGAAAACAGCATTTTAAATAATCCCTATAAAACGTAAAGTTCAGTCATGTATATACGGTGGTGTATTCAGTCTATTTCGTTCTAATTAATAATTCCGTACGACATATTAGAAATGAACGTTTTAACACTTTTTCTGTGTACTCTCAAACATAGAACTGTAAACAACAATGAAACAACAGTCAGTAACAAATATTGGAAGAAAAAATACATAATAAAATTATCTTTAGTAATATTTAATTTTGATGTATGTCAAAATTAACTCAATTTACAAATCAACTTAATATTTATAATTAACTAACCACAGTTTTCTTATATTAAAACTATGCTATCGTACAAAGAATTATCCCAGAAACTTTCATTTTTTTTTCCGCGTTTTGCTGGACCATAGACTAAATTTTCTTTTAGAAACTTAGATATTATTCGAGTGTACTTCCGTGATATTGATAGTGTATTTGTGTGTACACACATTTTAAGCAGCAAGGTGAGTCACTGGCAGCACTGTTTACGCATTCCTTCTGAATTCATTGTTGGCTTCACGTCGATAGGTTCTACGTTTTGTGGCCGGATTGTATCACCTTCTGGTGGATCGCGTATCTGTTTCTGCGATACGATTCTGTAAATTTCTGCAATCATCAAACTTTATATTACACCTTGTGCTCATAAAGAAACATCTTCGATTCTCATGCTACCTTTTGTCATCTTTAAATTCCGCGAAACAATAGACGAAAAGTGAACACACCTGTTAATATATTTTGAAACGCCGTTTCAACGTTAGTAGAGTCTAAAGCAGAAGTTTCAATAAAAGAGAGCCCATTCCTTTCTGCGAATCCTTTCGCTTCATCAGTTGGTACTGCGCGTAAATGCCTCAAATCGGATTTGTTTCCCACCAACATAATTACAATGTTCTGATCAGCATGATCCCGTAATTCCCGCAACCATCTTTCCACATTTTCGTATGTCAGATGCTTCGCAATGTCGTACACCAAGAGGGCTCCAACCGCACCACGGTAGTACCTAACAATTTTAAGAAAATTAAAATTATGGACCAATGAACCTATGTCTCTTTATTAAGTTGCAAATGATTATTGCACGTACTAAGAGTATTATGAATTGAAAAATTGATATACCATTTTACAATGCTCTGTCACTCTAAATAAAAGATCATATCAATGCGTCTTCTCATTTTTTTTGTCAGTGGATAACTTTAACTTACGCAGACGTAATAGCACGATAACGTTCCTGTCCAGCTGTATCCCAAATTTGAGCTTTGATAGTTTTTCCATCTACTTGTATACTGCGAGTTGCAAATTCAACTCCTATGGTTGATTTTGATTCCAAATTAAATTCATTTCTCGTGAAACGTGATAAGAGATTACTTTTTCCTACTCCTGAATCACCAATAAGAACAACTGCAATAACATAATGTTTCTTTACAAAAACATCTACATCATGGAAATTTCTTCATATAATATTTCACGATAATACAATATTCCAAATTACGTGTACATTATTTTTACAAAAGCAATCCACGCTTATCTCTGTTCTATAAACAAATAATTCTTTTATCAAGAAAAATCATTGGATGACACAAATTTTCCAAAACGATTATATCCGTGTAATGGATGGACATAGGAATGACCACATAATGAACCGCACATAGGCGACGAAAGATATGACTCAATTATAATCGAACACTCGGTATACAAATCATTGGGAACTGAAGGCTGTACAGTTATTCCGTATAAACATATAAAAGACCGCGATAACTCGGAAACAAGTGAGACATCGTTGACTCATGCGTGATTAACCGTAACGTCTTTCCCTTGAACTGGAGACAAAAGTATCAACGGCCAACCGAATGATTCGTCCGCAAATTTTCGTATACTAAAAACGACACGCATGGTGTCTGATGTCATCGTTTAAGTCAGTGCCCTACACACAGACCGCTCTGTCAATCGTCGGGGCATTCGCGATTCGAACTTGACGTTAATTCGGTATCTGTGTTATTAAACGATGACAATTGTTGATTTTAAACTGACACATACGTATACGGGCAGGGATACGTATGTGCGCGGGTTAAAATTGTACATGAACACTACGCAATATGTATATGAACACTGTGGAGACACGTATACACGTACGTATGTACATGGAAGAATATGCAAATTCGTTCGCCGTGTGTATGTGTGTGTGTGTGTGTGTGTGTGTGTGTATGTGGTACGTGTACAGACGACCGATACGTGTATGTGTACGTAGCAAATGTTCACTGCTCGCAAAATGTTGCAAACGAGATGCAAAACGGAACACGAATTTGTCGATAGGGTTTACCTTTAAATAAATAATCGTATTCGTCGTCCCGAGTGCCCATCTCGTCTGAAGTAATAAACCTCTTTTAGCAGACTGACGGACGGTATCTAGATCTATCAGGGGTACACTGCTACGGTTCTATAATTATTTACAAAAATCCAGGAGCCTTGTATTGGGCCCTGTACACTGTTGCTTCTCGCGGAATAAACGGCTGACACCGTTCTGAACGTACACGGTAAAAATACGAAACGAAACAGGTACGACTACACGATGATATAATTATTTTCGTTCTTTCAATTTAACTGTACAATATGGCCTCCTTTCTACGCCCCTCCAAACTGATGAATTACACATGCGCAATGCGCGTCTGTCTTACGCACGCGCAAATCGGACACGAACTACGCAAATCATAGATTGACAGTCGAATGATAAATATTGGATTGATTATTTTATTGCAAAAAAAAGAAGAAGAAATTATTTTATGTGAGAAATATTATACGCGAATGATTTGATTTGTGTCTGTGTTATCGATTCGAATTAAAGTAATCGATACTTGCGGGACTGTCCGATGTCTTTCATGGAAACTGATTTTCATGAAACGTATGTATAACTTATTTATTGATCGTGTTTAGAAATATCTGGAATAAATATTATACGATTCGGGGAAAGATCTATCGGAATGAGATACTTTATAATTTTCTTATCAGAGAAAGTTATCATCGGCGATTGCATAATGGCGGGCTTTTCAAATGAAATGTTATCGTTACTCGCTTTCCTATCATAAAAACTCACATTATGTGATTGACAATGAGTATATAGCCAATCACAACATTACATATTCATATAGGAATCTTCTGTCGCGTGATGTTATTTTTCCATTTACTATAGACGTGTCCGAGGGTGTATTCGCTAATTATGTATTATATTTTTCTGTATAACATCGTAAGTTTCTCATATAATTAAACAATTTCTAAATTAAACACAGGTACCAAGCGAAATAAAGTACGATGAAGGTATGTCATCATTTCATTATCTTATATCACAATTTTTTTATAATGGTTCTTTCACAATGATTAAGACGACATAAATTGTAATTAATTTACGTGACTAGACAATGTTAAAAACATTTAATTAATAATCAACCGGTACAATTTATGTTGATCTTGCGAGATGACAGACGTTCGATTGTGTTCTAACCAACACGTGTTTGCGTTCTTTTGCTCTGAGAAGTCATGAAATCATCGGAATGGAAATATAACATTCACTGTGGAAGATAAAGTCGAATTCCAATAATATATCAGTACAAACTAGATTGATAATCAATTAACTATGAATAAATTAAGTAGCATACCATCGGATTTGGATCTTGATGATCCAAGATTCAGGATTAAACCTTATCAACAAGTCATTGCATCATGCACTGGTGCTTTCATTACATCTGTATTTGGTAAGTGAAATAGAAATAGAATTGTAGATTAGGTATATCATAACTTTAATTTGACAAAAATCATACATTTACAATATAATTTCAATAACTTGTTTGCATTATTAAGAATAATTCTTCATTGTTTAAGTTACTCCTCTGGACGTGGTAAAAATTCGCCTTCAAGCGCAACAGAAAGCTATGCTTTCTAATAAATGTTTTCTTTATTGCAATGGTCTAATGGATCATTTGTGTCCATGTGCAAATGGTAGAGGACCAACGTGGGCTAAAGCAAATGGAAAGTTTAATGGCACAGTGGTAAGTGAAAGTAATCTTAGAAATTAAGTCCTATAACTTGAATTTATGTCCAATACTATTGACAATGATATATAGTATTATAAGATAAATGTATATACATTGTTACATTAATGGTTATAGGATGCCCTCGTGAAAATTAGTCAAAATGAAGGAATTTCATCCTTGTGGAGTGGTCTAAGTCCGACGCTTGTTCTAGCAGTACCTGCAACTATAGTATATTTTGTTTCATATGAACAATTAAAATTATATTTTAAGGTAAACAAAGAATTCTCTTCAAGCAGAGGCTTGTATTTCTTTATTTATCTTCCAAAACGTGTACCTTCTCTTAGGATCAGTATAATAAACGATTTAGGAATGAAAATAGTGCCGTGAGTATAGAGCAACCACTATGGATTCCTATGTTAGCTGGAAGTACGGCACGCGTCTGGGCTGCAACTTTGGTCAGTCCATTAGAATTAATTAGGACCAAAATGCAGTCGCAAAAATTAAGTTATGCAGGTAGTTTTCGCAGACAATATTCCTTTACATTCCAAATTATTTGAAATGGATCTATTTGTTTTATTTTCAGAAATAATGCAAACGCTGAAAACTGTTGTAAGGCAGAGCGGTATCTCTGGATTATGGTTGGGATTGAGTAGCACTCTTCTACGTGATGTACCTTTTAGCGCAATTTACTGGTTAAATTACGAGGCTATAAAACAAAGATTTTTTGGACTACACCAAACTTTTACTTTTAACCTTATAGCAGGTGCTATAGCGGGATCAGTAAGTACACTTACCCATAAATTCTTCTTGAATCAATTCTTATACTAAAGAGAGTGTGCATTTCAATCTTACAGTCAGCTGCGTTTGTAACGATACCCTTTGACGTGGTAAAAACGCACAGACAAATAGAAATGGGAGAGAAAGCAATATATTCAGGTAATAATGACAAACAAAATTCATTTGTATGGATAACTAGCTTTAACAATTTTAGATAAAAATATTTACATTATCAATACCAATTACAGATAAGCCTGGACATAGCAGCAAATCCTGGTTCATAATAAAAAAGATTTACACTCAGAACGGTGTAAAGGGCTTGTTCACAGGATTGATTCCACGAATAATAAAGGTGGCTCCAGCCTGTGCAATAATGATCGCGACTTTCGAACACGGTAAACGATTCTTCCAGACGTACAATGCCTCGGTAATACTTGAACGTGAAAATAATTTACAGTATCTACAACACAGAAACAATAGCGACAAATGAAATGTATATTTTCTAACATAACATAAAAAATATATTTAAATCCGACGACTAAACTTTCTTGTTTCTCGTTCCTGAAACCAAAATACAAAAAAGTCAAATCCCAAATAAAATCATTCATCAAAACTACCGTTCAAATTGCCGCCAAAACGTTCAAATCGATTTCCTATGGTACCGTTCACAACGCCTCTATGTTCCAGTCAATGGAAACCACCATAAAGTGCACGGAGTCAAACGAGAGTCTCGGTTCATCGATAATTCCAATAAAGTTGAATTATTTTCAACAAGAGTCGACAGTGGAACAACGTAATCGAAAGAGGCACGAATTATCCGTGAAAAATAACGAAGAATAAAATCGTTTGTACGCTTCGGCGAACACACGAGGGAAGCTGAATCGACCAGACATTGCGGATGGAACGGCGTTCGGCTAAATTCGGTTGGTCGATATGCAGAGTCGGCGATACTCGGCCCGTTGGAAGTGGCGAATAGGTCATTGCACGGAAGTCGGTTCTTCTCGATCAGTCGGGTTAGGCTGTTCCTCGTACGATTGGTTCACTCGTCACTCACCTATTCAACATTCCAAGGGCCGGGTCTTCTCACCGCCTCATCGACATTATCGTCTGGTAAGTCTCGCCGCCTGATACTTGGGGATCGAGGTAAAAGTCAAAGGGAACATCGTCGGTATCGCGTCATTTCTCGGATTAACGCGTTTCTGCTCGCAATTTCTCATAAAAACGTGAACGTCGGTGGACCGTCTTTGTGATATAATCGTTACGGAAAGCTGCGACCAGCACTTGGCCATTGGAGAGGGATACGGGTAGTAGCCATTTTCTAGCACGTTCGCCGATCTTCTGCTGTTCGGATCGTCGCGATTATCATTCTCTCTTTGATAATAGAAGAACACGATTTTTCCTGAGACAATTTCGATCGTACCACCCCTCGACGGTACATTGTGGCACGATTTAACGTGACTCGTTACGTAATAGCGCGTTGAGTTGGTGGTCTAACGATCCTCGGTGCGGATTGCCGGTTTGGCACGCGTCTTACGATCGGAGGCAGTCTGGTTTCATACTCGTGGTGTTTTCCACCTTTTTGCAGATACCACTTGACGACCACACAACGTCAAACGTCACCATGTTCGCTTGCTCCCGATTCATTGCTCCTCTCGCCAGGTCCACCGTGAGTAGAGGAACAGAAATCTCTCTTTTTTTCTCTCTCTCCTTTTTTTCCGTCGCGATCTGGCGTGTCATTATATAACGCGAATCGTGCTCCCGTAATTCTGGACATTTTTCCCCGTTTGTAGTTGGTCTCTGGAACCAAGACCTACATCCGGCCTTTGAGCAGTGCGGTGGTCAATCACAGCCAAATTCTTCAGCAAAATCAACTCCAGAGTCCAGTCAGTGTTGTGAGTATCCACGAATTTTCTAACACATTGCATAACCTCTCCCCCGTTGGAGGTTACATAAGCGATTTTATTCTCATATCAAAACAATTTTCATGGATTTAAATGGGAAATAATTCATGAATTCAGTTTACGCGTGCGACCGCGTTCGTGTCGCGAATTTTTTTAAGCGGATTGTATGTTCATTTGTGTTGAAGATCATTGATGTTATGTCACTGCAAATGTGCGGCTAATTGGATAGAGGTTTATCAGGGAATATTGAAGTAAAATACTTGAGTTTACTTAAGAATCAATGGGGAAATAACTGTAGGAAGTTATATTTCACGATTAATTGAAAACTTTTGATTCCTTGTTTCTGTTTTAATTTCCTAAGCTTGTCTGATGATTAAATCAAATGTAGTTGTTTAAACGATCTTTTTCATTATGGACAACACAGATTTTAATTGTTTCAGTATGTGATAGAGTAAGCGGAACTAATAATAGTGGTTATATAAGTCAGATTTTTATTTATAATGTAAATCGTTTCCTATGTATCCAATGAAATTATATAAAATTCTAGGTATCTAGTTACATATACGATAATGTTAAATTTATTAAATTATGGATTCTTTATTTTATTTAGTTTCGATTGTTACATAATCCCTGTAAAAATTATTTCTTTAATTATCTATTGTAGTCGCCGATTGTACGTAGCTTCCAAACTTCCACAATCAGTCGTGACATTGACTCTGCTGCAAAGTTCATTGGTGCTGGTGCAGCTACTGTTGGTGTAGCTGGCTCAGGTACATAGTTATATAGTTATTTATACATTAGTGTTATTTGCAATCAAATCACATATTATTACCTTCCTCCAGTAATGAAATTTTTACAAATCCAGCTCTTCTATCATTCCTACTTCTTCCTCCTCTATAACAATTTTCCTTCGTAACAGTCATTTTCTTAGTCTCCTTATTTCAGGGGTTGGTATTGGATTAATTTTTGGTTCCTTGATCCTCGGTTATGCCAAAAACCCGTCCCTTAAACAGCAAGTCTTTAGTTATGCTGTTCTTGGTTTCGCGCTGTCAGAAGCAATGGGTCTCTTTTGCCTAATGACAGCGTTCCTTATATTATTTGTCCTTTAGTAATGTTCCTCTGGAAGTTCCCAGCCACAGTATAGTTATATATTCTTCTCACCGATCCATGGAATCCTTTTCCAACTAAAGTAGAGGTATACCCGAAAGACTAAGATTCCTTGTTGAAATTTTAGGTGCAGGAATTGGTTCAGTATTTGGATCATTGATCATTGGTTATGCCAGGAATCCCTCTCTGAAGCAGCAGCTCTTCTCGTACGCCATCTTGGGCTTCGCCTTATCCGAGGCCATGGGTCTTTTCTGCCTTATGATGGCCTTCTTGCTCTTGTTCGCGTTCTAAGTCACCAAAATCGCATAAGAAATTACTGATAGTTTTAGTGCGTCACTACCAATTCAGCATCTTCTGGCTCTTATAAGGCACAGCGGAGGCTGTTATTGGTACACGAGATGCCATGAAATCATTAGAGAAGCTCAAGTATCTGGTTCGACGGGGTGTGCGATGGTACGACAATTAATGGAAATATACCTGGCTGGCTGTACACGTATCGGATCATCAAACGGACCGTCCTGACCCCATCAAACCTTTTAACTTGTTCATAATCATTCAAAGCTTACTGTCTCATGTAGTGTAATTCACATTATTATAAAAACCAATATGATGATAATGAACAAAATAAGATGTTGATAAACGTTTATTAAGAAAAGAAAAAACAGTCTCATTTGCATACCCATATTACACACGTACGTATTTGTGACATTAAACATTGATATAAAAGAGTAGTACAACACTTTTGAACATTTTTTTGTTACTTGGATATGGTTCATTATTGTTGTGCCGTCGCGTGCGCACGTTATTGAGGTATAACTTGACGGAAAAACTGTACAGTGATATCGAATAAACACCTTTGTTGTGAAATTATTCTTTATTGTACAAATTATTGTTTAAATTCTCCTGTTCCTCGATGACTTTATGCCGTTATGCCTTCCAAATGTTACAGGAGAACTTAATGGTTCATTAATTATTGTGAGATTACAAAAACAGTTTCAATGTAAGTATATACAATTAAATACACATATCGTTTTCGGTGTGTTTATTAAATATGAAGCGTACATTCAAGAACAATTAATAACATACGAAACATTGGCCAAATGTAACTGAGCATTGTTCTAATTAAATATAAATTTAACGTAACAGATAAAATCTAAAGTTTAATATGTTTGCTGATTTACAATAATGTAATTTATTATTGTATATAATAATGTAGAAAATGCTTTATATTTAACTTTCTCACCTAGATTTAATGATCGATGGATATCTTTAAATGATAACGTAAGTGAATTGAAAGTAACGTTTATTTTAAAAAAATGTAAGTAAAATTTTTAACCTTTATTAACTTAAAAATGAAATTGAAACTTT